AGAAATACAACCTAACCCACAAGCAAACCTAGATAGGGATCCACTAATAGATGAGACGTTCCAACAAGCATTCCAATATTTTAAAGAAACTAGCCCTACAAAAAGATTGTTTATTCCTAAACAAAAACCTTCTAAAAAACTAGCGCGTATAGTTACCTACCTAAACAAAATAATATTACCAGAAAACGTTAACAAAGAAACTGACTTCTATACCTTACAAACTACTATATATTGTGCGGCATGGACTGCGGCAAAAGTTAACGGAGCAAAGATAACCCTTCAACCAAGAGAAGTCACCCAAAGGGCAAAAAAAGAATATAAACCTAACTGGGAGACGCGATTAGAACGAAAATTAAATGATTTACGTTCAAAGATAGCACAAATGACACAATTCATCAATGGCAATAGAAGTAGGAAAATAATTAAACACGTTAACAAGATACTAGAACAATATAGAATCCACACTGCTCATGAAGAACCAAATAAACAAGCAGCTCACACATTAGACACTCTTAAACAAAAACTGTCAGTCGTAGCAGGCCGACTACAACGATACAAAGCTTGTGCCCAAAGAAAACTACAAAACATTCAATTCACCCACAATGAAAAACTCTTCTACCGCAATATTAGACAGGCGACATCTAACGTTCAGGATAACAACCCTGATCATAACTACCCTGATTCAGAGACGTTACAAAACTTCTGGGCAGGAATTTGGGAGCAACCAATCGAACATAACGCCCAAGCAGAGTGGATACAAACAGAACTGACAAACAGCAACACAAATATTCAAGCAATGACATTTGATCACATATCCCCAGTAATATTCCATAAAGTACTTTCTCGTTTACATAATTGGAAAGCACCCGGTTCAGACAACATTCATAGTTATTGGTACAAAAAATTTACATCTACCCATAGTTTTCTCTATAATTACATAAATACTTTCATACAGGATCCTAAAACAATACCGTCCTACGTAACTTCAGGTACAACTTTTATGATACCTAAAGATCGTAATGATCTCTCAAATCCAGCAAAATACCGACCAATAACATGCTTGCAGACCTTGTACAAAATTATCACATCTTGTATATCTGAACTAATATATCAACACATCGACACTAATAATATCTTAGCCGAACAACAAAAAGGATGTCGCAAATTCAGCCAAGGCTGCAAGGAACAATTAATCATAGACTCAGTTATCCTTCAAAAAGCACAAAAAAGCAAAACCGATTTGTTTAGTATGTATATTGACTACAAAAAAGCATACGACTCTGTTCCCCATTCATGGCTTGTAAAAGTTTTAGAGATATACAAAATTCATCCAACTATAGTAACATTCCTGAAGGTCATGATGACAACTTGGACCACTGTATTAAGACTAACTTCGCCCAGTAAAATAGTAGAAACCATCCCAATAAAAATTCAGAGAGGGATCTTTCAGGGAGATGCTTTAAGCCCACTGTGGTTCTGTCTTGCTCTAAATCCCCTATCTAATATATTAAACGCAACTACTTTAGGAATCCCGTTAAAAAATACAACTACCGAAGGACAAAATGAAATTCAAACAATAGAATTAAATCATCTGTTGTACATGGATGATATCAAATTATACGCCAAAAGTGAGACTCAACTCTGTAAACTAGCAAACTTGACAGAACAATTCTCAAACGATATCAAAATGGAATTCGGCATAGATAAATGTAAAATAAATTCAATTAGAGCAGGACAGAATTACCAACACCAATACACTTTAAGAACAGGAGAACAGATAGAACCATTAGAGGAACAAGATAGTTATAAATACCTTGGCTACACACAATCACAACAGATACACTATAAAGAAACTAAACAAAAACTAACACTACAATTTCAACATAGACTAAACACAATTCTGAAAACGCAACTATATTCTCGAAATACAATCAAAGCAATCAACACCTTCGCTATACCAGTTCTCACATATTCTTTTGGGATAATCAATTGGACCAAAACCGATCTGAAAAACCTTCAACGAAAAATTAATACCACAATGACCAAATTCCGCAAACACCACCCACGATCATGTCTGCAGAGATTAACACTGCCGCGGAAAGAAGGAGGTAGAGGACTAATTGATATCCTAAACCTACATAACAGACAGATAAAAGCACTCAGACAATTCTTTTTCTCAAAAACCGAATCCTCTATTCTTCATAAAATTATATCACAGAACGACCAAAACTTAACACCCCTAAATTTAAAATATACAACTGAACAGAAAAATGAGAAAGTAATTGAGGACAAAACCAAGCTTTTAGAATGGACGCAGAAATCTCTACATGGAAGACATCGCCAAGACTTATGCCAGATAAATGTCGACAAAGAGGCGTCGAACGCGTGGTTAAATCGAGGCGAACTCTTCCCGGAGACTGAAGGGTTCATGCTTGCTATACAGGATCAGGTAGTTGAAACCAAAAACTACAGAAAGTTTATCATAAAGAATTTAAGTAATGACACATGTAGGAAATGCCATAGCTCTCCAGAAACGATTCAGCATATAACAGGCGCGTGCAAGTCAATAACCCAAACAGACTACAAACATAGACACGATCAAGTAGCCAACATTATACACCAAAAATTAGCACACCAGTACAAACTTATAGATTCCGTTACACCATACTACAAATACAATCCAGAAATTGTATTAGAGAACCCCTCAACAAAACTATATTTTGACCGCGCCATTCTTACCGATCGGACAATCCATTTCAATAGACCAGATATTACACTTATAAACAAGAGAAACAAAACTGGATATTTAATAGATATTGCTATACCAAATACCCATAACTTGCAGACAACAATAGCAGAAAAACTGAGTAAATACACTGAATTAAAAGATGAAGTAGCCCGACTCTGGCATCTGCAAAAAGTTACAATAGTACCGATAGTATTGTCTACAACAGGAGTAATACCGAAACAACTCCACCAGTCCCTTAATTCCCTCAACTTACCTACAAATATCTATCATCTACTGCAGAAGGCCGCGATACTAAACACATGTAGACTTGTTAGAAAGTTTCTGCAATGTGAACCAGAAAACCCAGATCAAAACACAAATACGCCACCATTTTCTGTGCAGTCTTCTACCGTATTTAATCCAACTGATAATCACTTGGCTTAGGCCCGTGTTATCAGCTCTTCCCGGCTTGCCGAGAATATAAAATCAAAAATAATAATAATAATAATAATAAGGCGTAGGGAAGTGACGACCCCATCGCCCGCTGACGTAACGGTTATGTGACAAAACTGCTACGTCAGCGCAGTCAGCAGCACCTTAGCAAGAGGTGTTAGCGCCGTGCCTCGGCAAAATTGATTGGTGCAAAGGCCCGCTTGTGCACATGGCCTCACCATGAAACAGTGCCGGATCTGGGCGTCTCCCGTTAACTGACGCCCACTACATGGATGATGGAAAGAAGGAATACGCGCAAAGGGCCACTGCCTGGAGGTCGCCAGGGCGCGTCTGGAGCTGGCGCTGGACATGACAGCATGCGAACCGCCAACCAAGCGCGAGGTGCTGCACAACCACCCAGCAGCCCCTCGCATCCATCATCCCCACCAGCTGGCTTGGTGATGGCAGGGTCTTCGCGAGCCCAGCAATCAGCACCCGCCACTGGTGGAGTACGCCGCATGCGTTGGTCAATACAAATGAACATAAATGCATTGCGGGCGTATTTTGGGGCGAAAGGGGGAGAAATTGGAGGTATTGCGTATCGGGCTAGGATGCATCGACTATTTGCTGAGCTGGAGCCGTCTATTACCGTTACCGAGCAAAACCTGGCAGACCGAGTTCGGTACATCATGCGGTCAAAAATATTTGATGACGCCGAACTCGAATGGCTACGACGTGAGGCTATTCCTTTGTCGAATAAAAATACTATGACAGGAGATGCGGTTCTACGAGTTGCAGAGCAACCCGCACATGTAGATGCCACCGTAGATCTCCTTGTGGTTGACTCAGGCGACGATGGAATAGTCACCCAGGAACAAGAGCAAATGAGGAGCGTATTGGAAGAGGCGATTAGGGAAACGCGCAGTACGCCTCTCGAGAATCGACCGCGACTTCCCCGTATATCCCTAAGCAAGTGGAATCGGGCTGTCGTGAGGGCTCTCAACCCAATGCTGGTGACCTATTTGGAAGCCAGCCGGGACCTTTGCGAGACGGACTCAATTCGTTTTGGCACCGCACTGGCAGTTTGCCGCATTGTTGGCGCCATCATCGGCAGGCTGATAAGCTTCAGGTCGGGCAATAATAGGCCGAGAATTGTGCGCATCGTCAGGATGGCGTTTGCTGGGACAAACATCAGTTTGTCCCAGCCGGATATAACGCAAAAACTGACGGAGCGCATAGACGACCTGAAGCAGAGAATCGCTGCTTGGGGGAAGCGGATTCGGGGATATACCGAGAGGTCGACACGGTTCAACCAGAATCGTCTCTTCCAGAGTGATCAGAAGAGGCTCTGTGAATCATTGGAGCGACCAATGGTACGTGGAACGGGCCCAGCACCGAATCAGGCCGACACTATCGCATTCTGGCGCGGCCTGTGGTCGGAGCCCGTAAACCACAGCGGGGGCCCTTGGACGGAAGTTTTGGCGAGTCAGTGTGCGAATGTTACGCTCATTGACCTCGTCATCAAACGCCAGATGACGTAGCTGAGGCGGTCCGTAGGGTCCCGAACTGGAAAAGCCTGGGGCTCGACGGGCTGCATCACTACTGGCTGAAGGGGTTCGTGGTGTGTCACGCTGTGCTCGCCCGACAGTTTCAAGAGGCTCTCGACCAAAAGTTGCTCCCGAGCCTCTTCACTACTGGGATCACTCATTTGGTTCCTAAAGACCGGGATTCCACAGACCCGAGTAAATACCGCCCCATAACGTGTCTATCTACCATATACAAGACACTAACATCCATTTTGAGCGCGAGAATCACTCGTCACCTGAACTCAAATCAGGTGATGTCACGCGCTCAAAATGGATGTCGGGGCGGTGGTCGTGGAACCAAGGAACCACTCCTCATTGACGCGGTCATTGGCAAGGTGGTTAAACGCAACCATCGGAACCTCTCCGCCGCCTGGATAGACTATAAAAAGGCATTCGACTCGGTGCCTCATACATGGCTTAAGAGGGTCCTCGAGCTGTATAAGGTCAATTGTACTGTTCGAGACGTCCTCGGGCGGTGTATGGGGCAGTGGAGTACGATCCTTTGTCATCTAGGCGAGCGGATGACGGCTGCGGAGAACCACATAAGGATACGAAGGGGTATCTTCCAGGGCGATTGTTTGAGTCCAATCTGGTTCTGCCTCTCTCTGAACCCTCTTAGTACCTTACTGGAGGGCTCCGGAAGGGGATTTCAACTTCGGAAAGGAGGTACAAAAGTGACCCATCTTTTCTATATGGATGATCTCAAGTTATTCGCCTCCAGTCGCTCTCATCTTATGGAATTGCTAAACATCACTTGTGAGTTTAGCAATTCTATTAGAATGGAGCTGGGGACGTATAAGTGTGCGGTCCTCCATGTTGAAAGGGGAAGGGTTGCTAACTCTGAGGGCATAGACTTATCTATGCCCATCAACATAAGGACCCATTCCGAGGCTGAAACATACCGATACCTGGATATGTCACAGATCATCGGTGTAGATGAGGCGGGTATGAAACAGTCAGTTTGCGATGTGTTTTATGCACGGTTGACCAAAGTGCTTAACAGCCTTTTGTCCGGTGCGAATAAGACGCACGCATATAACGGTTCTATCATGCCTGTTCTCATGTATACCTTTGGCATGCTCAGGTGGACTCAGACCGATCTGAACGCTCTGGACAGAAAAGTCCGCACTATAATGACGTCCCACAGGATGCATCATCCGAGATCGTCAGTAAGGAGGCTGTACTTGCCGCGGAAGCATGGTGGGCGCGGCTTTTTAAGCGCGCCTACCATGCATAATCGCGAAGTGTGCAGCCTCCCCAATTACTTTCTGACGAGAGCGGATGATCCATACTATAGGGACGTTATTTCTTGTGATAAAGGACTTACCCCTCTATCCTTAGCCAACGAGCAATGGCAAGACCCGGCAGTACAGAGCATTTCCGACCGAGAGACCGTATGGAAGGGGAAGGAGCTCCACGGGAGGTTCTACAAGGCTCTACATGAGCCTTTCGTAGACACAGTCGCCTCCCTTCACTGGCTACGTTTCGGTGACCTCTTTTGGGAAACCGAGGGTTTTGTCTGTGCGATACAGGATCAGGTTATTAAGACCAATAATTCTCGGAGATACATCCTAAAGGATGGCATCGTCGACGTCTGTCGAGGGTTCTCGAGCTGTACAAGGTTGACTGTACAGTTTGAGACTTCCTCGGGCAGTGTATGATGTAGTGGAGTACGATCCTTTGTCATCTAGGCGAGCGGATGACGGCTGCGGAGAACCACACAAGGATAAGAAGCGGAATCTTCCAGGGCGATTGTTTGAGTCCAATCTGGTTCTGCCTCTCTCTGAAACCTCTCAGTACCTTACTGGAGGGTTCCGGGAAGGGATTTCATCTTCGGAGAGGAGGTACAAAAGTGACCCACCTTTTCTATATATTTTCTATATATATATGGAATTGCTAAATATCACTTGTAATTTTAGTAATTCTATTAGAATACCTCAAAACTTGAAAACGAGACTGTACACCCAGTGCGTGTTGCCAGTGATGACATACGGAACTGAGACGTGGTCCTTCACTGCTGGCCGGATGAGAAAGCTCAAGGTCGCTCAGCGAGCTATGGAGAGGGCTATGCTCGGAGTTTCTCTGCGTGATAAATTCAGAAATGAGGATATCCGCAGTAGAACCAGAGTGACCGACATAGCCCAATGGATTAGTAAGCTGAAGTGGCAATGGGCCGGCCATATAGCTCGCAAAACCGACAACCGATGGGGAAGAAAGGTTCTCGAGTGGCAGCCTCGTACCGGCAGGCGAAGTGTTGGGCGTCCCCCCACTAGATGGAGTGACAACCTGGTAAGATATGCAGGAAGTCGATGGATGCAGGTGGCTCAGGACCGTGCTTTGTGGCATTCTTTGGGGGAGGCCTATGTTCAGCAGTGGACTTGTGAAGGGCTGTAATGGTGATGATGATGATGATTAGAATGGAGCTGGGGAAGGATAAGTGTGCGATCCTCCATGTCGAATGGGGATGGGTTGCTAACTCTGAGGGCATAGACTTATCTATGCCCATCAGCATAAGTAGCCTTTCCGAGGCTGAAACATACCTATACCTGGGTATGTCACAGAACATCGGTGTAGATGTGGAGGTTCTACAAGGCTCTACATGAGCCTTTCGTAGACACAGTCGCCTCCCTCCACTGGCTACGTTTCGGTGACCTCTTTTGGGAAACCGAGGGTTTTGTCTGTGCGATACAGGATCAGGTTATTAAGACCAATAATTGTCGGAGATACATCCTAAAGGATGGCACCGTCGACGTCTGTCGAGCCTGTCGTCATCCCGGTGAGTCACTTAGGCATGTCATCTCCGGTTGTTCGGCGCTTTCTAACTCTGAGTATTTGCACAGACACAACTTAGTAGCCGGGATTCTACATCAGGAGCTCGCTCTGAAATACGGTCTCGTGGATCGGAAACTGCCATATTATAAGTACTTGCCGGAAGCCGTGCTCGAAAACGACCGCGCCAGGCTCTACTGGGACCGGGCCATCATCACAGATAGGACTGTTTTTTTTATAGGATAGGGTGACAAACAAGCACACAGTCCACCTGATGGTAAGTGGTTACTGTGACCCATAGACATCTACATCTATCCTCAATAAAGACTCAAGATGCAGATGCGTTGTCACCCGTGAGGACTAAAATGGAATGCCGCTTTGCCAGTAAAAAGGGTCTCCGTTTCTCTACACTCACCACACGAAACACAGCAGCGTTAACTTGCTATTTTACGCTGGTTTTCTGTGAGAGCGTGGTCCTTCCCCGGTCGAGCCGACCCATTCGTGCTACAACAATATTACTAATATAGCTGCAGCATGACTCTACCACGTAAAGAACTACTATTCATGCGAATAAGCCTGTTATTGTGCTGATGGACCGGGCACAGTCAAGGATATTTTTGGTCGACATTACCATTCCTTATGACGAGAACCTCGTGAAAGCCGAAACAGATAAGCTGACAAAATATCTGGACCTGGCTCAAGAGGTGACCGACATGTGGGGTGGTCTGCCGGCCGAAATTATTCCTGTGGTCGTTTCTGCGAACGGGTTAATCCCAGTTAGTCTCTTGGGTTATCTGAGGCGAATGGGACTCCGTGACAGACCGCTCCAAGCTCAAATGCAGAAGGCGGTGCTCCTCGATACCGCCCGCATCGTCCGCCGGTTTCTTTACCTTTCCCCCTAACCCTCGGCCGTTTGGTCTCCCCTACCGAGGTCTTCCATCTGGTTGGGTTTTTTATATATTTATGTATTTTTTATGTATTTGTTCTATTTTATTGACATTTATGTATGTTTATATATTTCATTTACAATTATATATTTAAACAGCCCAACATGATGAGAAAACTTTATATAATATAATAAATAATAATAATAATAATTTTTTATTTCAGATATCAAAGATCCATAAGTTGTTAGTATGACTTATACTAGGTTAGTAATTGAGAACATCAAATTAAACCAAATTAAATTAAAGTAAATCAAAACTAAAATCAAATCTATACCCAAAATTAAATCACAATAAAATCAAAAATAAAATAATAATCAAATAATAGTAATGTCAAAATTAAATTAAATTAAGTTAAATAAAATCCATCAAAAATCAAATAAAATCAATTGAAATCAAATAATGTCTTAATTAAATTAGATTAAATACAATTGAAATAAAATAAAATATCAAAATAAAATGGATGAATTCAAATGTATTCAATTTAAATAACTCTGTTTTGAAATAACCCTCCTCACAAAGCAAGCTCATAGCGGAGACGTGTACCTATCTGCCAGGGTTTGCAAAATGCTATTGGCACTGCCACGCGCTCTAAATATCAGCGATGTGTTTTTTTTGGGAATAATGGCTGCAAAGTCGTCAACTTGGTATTCTGCAAACATCGCTGATGCACTACAGAAACGAGGCAATCCCAACAACATCCTGAACACATTATTATATTGGACTCATAGGGTGTCCAGCGACTTCTTGGTATAGCTGGTCCATAGATTTCCTGTGTACATGTTTTGGCAATACGCTATAAAAAGGGTCACCTTCACGTCTTCTCTACAACGAAAACGACAGAATCTGTGAGCCAACATATTGCCTCTAACTGAGAGAGCCCTACGTTCCCTTTCTATATCAGCGTCGTCTTTAAGGTCGTCAGTAATTATATGTCCCAGATATTTAAATTTTGATACACATTGTATGTTCACGCCGTTCAGGGTAATGTTATTGACTTTATCGGGACATTTACCAGCGGCCTTAAACACCATGCATTCTGTCTTTTTTACATTGTATATGAGCCCATGCTCCGCAGCGTATTTCTCACAAACCCTTAGCATCTCGTTAAGACCCCCTGCAGTTGGACAGAGCAATACACTGTCATCAGCGTAATTTCTATTGTTGGTGCTTACTCCGTCAATACAGCATCCGACACGCATACTGCTCAACCTGACAATGAGATCGTGACGTCAGAGAGAGACAGGGACGTCAAGCCTCCCTGTCTTACCCCACTCTCCAACACATATTCTTCCGAGAGAGAGAGTCGGCCCATTTTACACAATTTGTCTGGTTGGGCTACCAGAACTTAAATATATTTATTAATTCAATCGGTAGTCCCCTGTCCTCCAGCTTTGCCCATAATATGTTATAAGACACTATGTCAAACGCCGTTGACAGGTCTAGAAAACAGCCATCCACCTGTGTCCCGCGATTAATATAGTATTGGACATTGTGCTTTAAACTTACATTTGCACTCTCAGTAGATAGCCCAGACCGAAAACCAAACTGTGCGTCATGTAGCTTAGCTATTTTTTCAAGGTAAAAATTAAGCACACCGTCCAGCACCTTAGCAACCGTCGTTGCCTATTTCACCACGTCTGGAAGAGCCCATTTCGCCGCCGCCAAGATACAGCGCCTGCTGGACCTGCTGCCACCGTGGCTGGATGAGTGGAGGATGGCTGTAAATGTTGGGAAAACGCTATTATGTATATATATAACAGCTATTACGAGGGCTGCACTGAAATTTTCGGGAATCAAGGAAGTGACACAACATTACTTTTTAAAAATGTATTTATTGCTTTTCGTATAAGTATTCTCCGCGAAACTTGACACATTTTTCCATACGATGGAACCAATCATTGAAGCAACCATTCCATTCGGAAGTTGGGGTCTCCAAAATGGCCGTTTTGTAGGCGTCCACAGCTGCTTCAGGTGATGAAAATCTTTGTCCACGCAATTCATTCTTTATTTTAGGGAAAGTATAGAAATCATTAGGGCTTAGGTCGGGGCTGTACGGCGGATGGTCTAATAATTCTATGTTTTCTTGCTCTAAAAACTCTTTTGTTCTGTGTGCGGTGTGAGAACTCGCATTGTCGTGATGGAGGATGATGCGGCGGTTGCAGTTCTCTTTACGTAGTTCAGAAACGACCTGTGGCAAACAAATGCTAGCATACCATTCTGCATTAACCGTTCTTTGTCTCTCAAGTCGTAACATGGCCGGTTTTGGAGACAAATGTGGCCACCATTTTTTTTTGCAACACTCCGTGAACGACCAATTTTTGTTGGCTTTAACTCATTTTCGAACACCCAAACTCGTGACTGGTTTTATGTTTCGGGTTCGTACGCGTATATCCAGGATTCGTCACCTGATACGATGTTGTATACAGCATTTGAGGATCCTGCGTGGAATCTTTCGAGAGTTCTGACGCACCAAGTAACGCGAGCCGCTTTTTGCTCTTCACAGAGCGAATGCGGTATCCATCGGGAAACAACTTTTTTATACCTAATTGTTCATGCAAGATTATTTGTATTTGACTCATGCCAATTTCTAAAGTTGCCTGAATTTCGCGGTATGTCACATGTCGATCTTCCTCAATCAGCTTACGCACAGCATCAACGTTTTCTTGGGTGACTGCAGTTTTTGGACGACCTTGACGGGGATCATCACTGAGCTTGACACGTCCACGTTGAAATTTAGCAAACCAGCAATAAATTGTGTTTTTGGATGAGGCTTCATCACCAAATGCAGAAATCATCCGGTCAGCACACTGTTTTTGTGTGGTTTACACTTCGAAAGTCATAATAAATCATCCTCTTGAATTTTCTCGAGTCAATTCCATTTTCTCAACGACTAAACAAGTTTGATAAAACCTTGTGGCAAGACCAAGAATCTTTTTTAAAATTAATAAATGGTATTCGATTTTTAAAACCAAGGAGTTTTCAATTAAAAAGATTTTAATATGACAGGAACAGTGGAAATATTCTATTCCCGATACTTTTAGTGCAGCCCTCGTATGCCACAAATTATTTTCTTTTATTCTAATAGACCAAAAAACTGTGCTCCATTCTACCGTGCGTAAAACAATATAGAATTAAATTTACGTGAAAGAATTGCGCTCAGTTTCCATCCCTAGAACTCAGTCTATTGGGATAAATTAGCGACTTCTAGCGACTTTCGATCTTTGTCCACATCTAGCGACTTTTAAAGCGTACTTTAACGACTTTTTGACACGTAGAGTTGGCAATACTGTCTGAAACAAACTGTTCAGGGCTTCAGGATAGATAGTTTGCTAGAGTGCGCGCAAGATAACTCTACGCATGGCAAAAATTGGAACTAATCGTGTAATCGTGTACCGCCATCTTACTATTTTTGGCACGTGTCAAAACTGAGTGTTAGGTGTCGTGTTTTTATCCGTTTTTGCAATAAATAATCGTTACCATTATGCCGAAAGTAATTAAAAGTGCTTGCAGGGATATTATCTTGAAGGACAAACGTGCTTGTGAAAAAGAACGAGATAATAACGGAACTAAAGTACCGTTTTCCAAAGTTATAGCCCGCGTTGCATATTTGACAGGTAATTTTTAAGGCTGCCGTAACAATAAAACTCTCCAATTTTCTCGATTTGTTCGTTTTTAATTTCCTCGAAAACACAAAGGAGACCCACAGTATAAAATTTAAATGAACATGGACATGAGGTTCTCCGTTTACCGCCTTACCACTGCGATTTAAATACCATCAAAAAATTTGGGTGAAGTGAAGAGGCGCATTGCGGTGAAAAATGTCACTCAAGCTCCTAGTGAAACAGCTGCTAATGCTGAGGCGGCGTTTCGAACAGTAACGATAGAAGAATGCTCAATGTATGTCTACATGTAAAAAAATAGAAGATAAATATTTCGAAACAGATAGTCTGATGGATATGGAAATGGATAAATTTGTAATTAATGTTACAGGCGACACATCCAAGTCTACTGATGAAGACTTGGATGTGTCGCCATGGATTCCCATGAAGATGTGTGAATAGAAAGCGTTGACCCACTGCAGGACTATTGTTACACCAAATTTACAAATAATACTAGGTATTCAATAAAATAATTACAAGGTTTCCATGGACTTTTTATTTCGTTCTTTATAATACGAGTAAATATTACAATACTATTTCAGTTCTGTTTCAAAATACCTTTTAAAAAAAAATTAATTATAGGCAAAATATCAGCATATTATATCATATTAATAAAGCTGATTTTATTTTAGTGTATGATCAGATGGCTAAGGCCATGTGTTTCGGCGACAGCTGAATTTTACAAAATACTTTACAATGTCTTTGATGTTTGTGTACCCAAAAAAACGGAGATCTAAATTAAATTGTAAACGTAACCCAGTCTGGTTTTTTGCTGATATCGTAAAGGATATCAATCGTAAAATAAGACTTCATCGCCAATGGAAAAAACATGGTGACGTAAGTGTTTATAATGCTTTTTCTAGATTACGTTCAAATTTAACCGGTTCAGTGCTGGTGCTGCACTTTTGTGTGTGGCGTATGACACGCGAGTCGTGTCTTTTTAAAAATCGTTATAACTCGCTCAAATTACTTTTTTGGAAGATTTATCCAGAACAAGATATTCATTATTTTGCAAGTAGTTCATGCCTGCAGCTTTGTTTCCGGGTATTTTGAAAGAAAACAATGCGTTTGTTTTATTGTTTAATTTTGGTTAACCAATTCGTTGCGGCACCGATTTTCGACAACTTTTAGCTGTGGCGGCGAACAAATATTTCATGACACGCCAGGCGTGTCACGCACCAGAAGCCGGCGCTTTTTTCCCTTTTGAAAACACTTGTTTTGCTATTCTTACTAATTAGACGTTTTCAGATCGACTTTACTTTTACATTTGTATAACATTAAATAATATTTAATATTTGTAAATATCAATGAATCATAAACCTTATTTTTTTCCAAATTAAGGTACTACATTGTTTGATATTTACAAATGTTTTTATTAGGTGAAAATTTAATTTAATAAAAACCAAAGTTTCCAGGGTGATTTAGCTGTACCTACTTATATAAATGATTTTTTAATAAAACAAAAAATAGTAGAAAAGGTTTGTAATCTCTGCATAAAAAAAGGTCACTCACTCTCAATTTCAAAGAAAACACGTAGAAAAACACGTAGTTACCCACTAAAAACAAGTATCCTTCCGTTTGTAACTTATGTTTGATGTCAAGTAAACTTAATTAGGTCTAAACAAGTGAAAAAAGCATAAAAAAGAACATTACCTTTATACATGGCTGATGGCACAATAGGCGTGTCATCAACTTCTGTGGCCCTATTCTGTGGAATATTTGTTCGCCGCCACAGCTAAAAGTTGTCGAAAATCGGTGCCGCAACGAATCGGTTAAAGAACCGCATTGAGTTAGCCTACAAATCATACATAATAGCTATCGAAATGAACATTAAGACTAACCCAAAAAAGTTTTGGCAGCACATTGCTAACTTGCAATTCAAGGGCGGTTTTAAACCTATAATGACTTATAAAAATAAAAAATTCTCCCGTACTGAAGCAGCTGATGCATTTGCGCACTATTTTTCAAGTGTATTCCTACCAAATAACCCCATTCTAGATCCCAATCAAGTATGTACCGCTAACATCGTACCACATGGAGGATATGTAAACATACGCAACTTTACATTATCAGAAGTCAAAGCAGGTATCAACAAATTAAAACCCGGTAGTTCTGTCGGTCCTGATAAGGTTCCTACTTATATATTAAAAGGATGTCTGGAACGTATTGCACCCTCCCTTTGTCATATATTTAATCTGGCTCTGCATAGTGGCACTTATCCCGAACAGTGGAAACTATCTCGTGTCAACCCCATTCCAAAAACTAGTAACAGATCCTCTGTTGAGGATTATTGACCCATTGCGATTCTCTCATTCCCTGCCAAGGTCTTTGAACATATTGTACATAAGGTCATTTACGAACAGTTAAAATCCTATTTATGCGACGAACAACATGGTTTTCGACCTGGTCGTTCAGTAGAGACTAATTTTCTTTCGCTTGTGAATTACATTTCGCAGCGTCTAGATAAAGGTAGGCAGGTAGATGTGCTATACCTCGATTTTAAAAAGACGTTTGATAAAGTGGACAATGTCATACTGTTACTAAAGTTATGCGCTATAGGATTTACGCCGAAACTACTATCCCTTTTTTCAAATTATCTTCGCAAGCGGCGCTAATATGTTACCCATGGTTGTTACCTATCCCAATCATACCATACTCGCATACTCCGGAGTTAGTCAGGGATCGGTAATCGGTCCACTCCTATTTGTTATTATGATCAACGATCTTGTTAGAGTCGTTAAGCATGCTAAATGCTTACTTTATGCAGACGATTTAAAACTGACACTTGAAATAAATGAAACTGTCGATCACAGCCATCTCCAAAGTGATATCGACCGGGTCTACCAGTGGAGTACTGACAATAAAATGTTTTTCAACACGATTAAATGTTATGTTATGACATTTAGTCGCAAATTACAGCCTCTACAAGCTACCTACACTTTAGGAGATACTACTCTAACGCGAGTGACAAACATAAAAAATCTTAGCGTGACTTTTGATTGTAGCTTAACTTTTCATGCACATATATCCGCCTTGGCTGTTGGCTGTTACAAACGCCTCGGATTCGTTTTGCGCAATGCCGGCGAATTACAAAATACAGAAGTAATCAAACAATTATTTAATTCCTTAGTGAGTAGTAAATTGGAATCAGCGGCATGTGTTTGGAATCCTTATGATACCTACAAAGTATGTTTTGACCATAGAAAAAGTTCAAAACGTTACTTACGTTTCCTTTATAAAAAAAATTACGGATACTATCCGTTTTTATATCCCACACAATTTTTGTTGGGTACCTTAGGGTATAATTCTCTTGCAGTTCGTCGTTCTCGCATCATAATTGTTATTACACACAAAATTCTAAGAGGCGTAATAGATGCCCCTGAACTTTACAATACCTTATGCAAGATCTATGTGCCTGATCACTACTTGCGACATAGGCCATCACGTCGAACTAGATTATTCGCGGCGGCGTCATCGCGCACGCTAATTCCCTACTATGTCGAATGCACAGCGCAATCAACGATCTTGTGAGGGCTGCACCCGACTTTGATATATTTGCGGATAGTTGGAATGTGCTGTTGTCAGCTTGTTTACGATTTTGCGAAAGCAATGATATATAATTTGTATTTTTCTTAGTATAGTTTTAGTTATAGCATAGTTTATTCTCATGTGCTTTGCAAAATTATTAACTACTGTAATTGGAGTAAAACCATTGTAATTAAATAAATAAATAAATAAATCAGTGTTGATTAATCTTAGTAATAGTCATTTCTTACAAGCATATATAATATGTAACTGTAATTATGTAAAAAAATTGAACGATAATTTTGACCAATTCTCGGTTTTGATGGAGCTGAAATTTTGCATACCTATAGGTTTAATTTAGAAGACATGCATGGTTAGACAAGTGACATCATTCTAAATCCAATATGGCGGGCTCCTAAAGAAGGAAGACTTATTTTTTTTTTTGGCGTTCCCATGGGTATCAAATAAAAGGGTTTGCTGAGGAGAATAAAAAAAAATTAAAGCGTGTTTTTATTTTATTTTTGTCTCAAACTCGTTCGCATAAATTAAACGTTTTCAAATGATTCTTAAGCAATAATTTATATTAACGTAAGTCTTACCATAGAAACTTGTGTAGTGAAGTGTTAAAGTTACGAAAGTTAGAATCAAGAAATATATTTATTATATATTTCTTAAACATTTATTATTATAGATTTCCTAAACAATAAATATCGGATTTAAAATTTATTAGGTCTTTGTAAGTTTAAGCTGAACATTAGAGATTTTTTAACTGAGCTTTGGTAATCAATTCGATCGTTTACGTAATTTGATATAATTCTAGTTATACGATTAAATATTAGTTAAGCTGGCAATAGTAAGTACGCCATCAGTCGCGCGCAGATATATTTGTGGTTTTTTATTGGCGGGAACTCCAAACGTGGCGGTCGATTTATTTTTAATGTATTTTCGTTAAAATATCCTGTGATTCCTGTGTAAATATTACCAAAATTTATTTTAATCAGTTCGGTGTAAATAATTGTACATTTTGTTAATTATTAAAATGAATGAACCGGAGGATCCAGGTGGAACCCTGAAACTATCCAAAATTGTTCGTAAAAGAGGTACGAAGGAATGTGGTCCTGAAGTAGGCGGCGGTGAGGATGACATTATTCCGTTTTTTAAGCCAGGTTATTTGCGACTTTGAACATTGTACAAATACGCACTTCAAAGTTTTTGTTGAAAGCCAGGACAAACAGGTTAAACTTGGAAATAAAAACCCAGTTTACTTAAATCATATTTTTACTTCGGAGGTGATAGGTGTGGTAGCTTTACATAGAGTCAATGCCAACAAAATTGCGGTTGTTTTTAAACAATACAACACTGCAAAAAATTTCATCACAAATACGGACTCTTTAACAAAGCACAACTTGAAGGCGCATATTCTTGCGACGCAGAGAGAAAAAACTGGAATCATCCGATATGTGCCTACCAACATTTCGAACAAGGATTTATATATGAAACTTTCTTCGATCTATGAAATTATTCCAGTGAGAAGATTCACGAAAAAAGTCGGTCAAAGTACTGTAGGTCTCGAGACGGTCAGTATAATTTTCTTATCAAATATTCTGCCCGACAACATCCAATATGACCTATTTTCGTTCAGGGTGTTTGAATATGTCCCGCCGTTGCAGCAATGCTTCCGGTGCTTCAAGTTCAACCACCCTGCGAAAATTTGTAATGGTAAACAACGTTGCTCGATATGTACTGGGGAGCATAATTTCAGAGACTGCGATAAAAAAGAGAACCTGTGTTGTGTCAATTGCGGTGGCCCTCATCTGGCCATTTCCAAATCTTGCCCAATAAAAATGAAAAAAATACTTGAAAAAAAGGGTAAAATTACTTATGCCTTTGTGGCTAATACAATTACGTCTCTGATTTTCCGTCTTTACCTGCACAGTCGAGCAGTATTGTTAAGACCCTACCATCAATAAGCCAATATGTACATAAATTAAATAAAAATGTAAAAATTGTAAATAATCTAAATAAAACAGGACCCAACTTGAACCAAACTCAACTTAATGCTCAAATTGTAAACAATAAGAATATTCTGATGGCAATGGTCCAAACTTTAGTTGAATTGGGTAATAAAACAGATAATGAACCTGTGACTACACTGTTCATTAAAGACTTACTTTTAAAAAATCTGTCACATTAATGGACAGTAGAGTACAGAACATACAGCAGTTATGTACAGCTAAAGTATACATAGAAAAAAACCCTTATTTTAAAAATTTTTAGATGAGCAAAATGTTGATATCTGTCTACTCAATGAAACTTGGCTGAAAGATACTCAGCATGTTAAAATTTCGTGATATAATTCCCACTATCATAATGCCCAAAATGAGCACGGTGGAGTAGCAATTTTGATCAAACCGTATTTTAAATATAATATTATTCAAAACAGATTTTACCAAGACATTCGGACTGTGGCATTATCAATATATGTACTTGGTAAAAAATTAACGATTTTATGTGTATACTGCCCTCCCTCGAATAGTAACTTCAGAATAAGTAAACTGCGTGATATAATTAGAGATTTGCCTAAGCCAATATATGTGGCTGGAGATTTCAACACTCACCATGTGGCATTTGGGTGTATGACCACGAAAAGTCGGGGTCATCAGTTATACGATTTAATTGATGAATTTGATCTATGTCTCCTCAACAATGGTAGCTTAATTACTATTAATTATCCTAACCGAAATCCATCGGCTATTGATGTCAGCTTTTTTAGTGCTTCAATCACTCCACTATGCGAATGGTGGGTGCATGATGATTGTATGGGGAGCTATCATTTTCCTACGCTTACTCGTGTTTTATTGTCCGTTGATAGATACCAAATTAATCCTCCCATTGAAAAATTATTATACAACAGGACAGACTGGAAGAAATACAATGAGCTGTCTATAAACTGCTTTTTCTAATTTTGTAATTAATAATGAGAATTCATTACAGTCCTATTATGACGAATTTATTGAAAGGCTTAATACACTCACTACTGTGCCAAAGTTTGTCAAAGCAAATAACTATCGTTGCAAACCTCCAGCACCTTGGTGGAGTGACACATGTGAATAGAGTGTTATTAAAACTTATGAAGCTTTAAAACTGTACAGAAGGGATCCAACCATTGATTATTACATTAATTACAAAAGACTTAATGCTGCTAAGAAAAATACTATTTCAGAACATAAACGCAATGGTTGGGCGAACATCTGTAATACTTTTAACAGAACTACACCTGTTAGTATTATTTGGAAATACATCAAGTTATTTAAACGAATAAAATGCAGTAATAGAACATATAAAGACGAATTTGTTGTCCCTCTCTTAGAAAAATTATATCAAAATGGATGTAGGGTTATAGATAATCTAGAAAGTTGTTTTCAAATTAATAATAGTCTTCAGAAGTCCAGTTTCCTCATAGAACCCCTTACTTGGAGTGAGTTTTGTACAAGTTTACAATCCAGACGAAACACAACCCCTGGGTTAGATAATTGTCTATACATTTTGATCAAAAATCT